CCGAATCTTTGATGCATGCGCTCATTTTGCTTTTTTATAAAAAGTATCTATTTTACGAGACTATTTTACGCATATCAGACTACATACAGCGCTTCTTGGTGTTAAGAGAACCCTATAACTGCTTATACAAGAAAATTTTTTCGTGGTCATCCAGACCGAATAGGGGTGTACACAGAACCCTTCTGTTCTGGGCACTCAAGATGTGGTCACGAAATTCAGCAGAAACTTTTGTTGGAATGGGTTAGTCCGTGCGTCGGATCAGAAGGGTTGCCTTGAAACCTACCGCTCTCTTTCGAATACCATGAAGCGATTCAGGGTGCTCCCCAACTGGCAAGGAAGTGAAAGTGCTCAACGTTCCACCTGGCATACCCTCTCGAATTCAGCATATCGATGTATATTTTCCTAACCACTTAAAACCATTACTCATCTTGTGAGGAGCTGTTCTTTTCCAAACACTCCATGTTGGATTATCATATCTGTTCACCTATTGCTAGGATAGTATATTGCATGAAAATGACAGCTGAATTGTACCAGCACACTTCTACCTATAGAGAGGACATTACTTCATCCAAAAGAGCTATAGCCTGACGAGTCATCGCTAGACTACCTACAGCCCTTCATCATATGTAGGGAGCACCAGAAATGCTGATACAATAAGTGTATTCGTCGCCTCTACAGACCGTGTAAGGGTGCACATAGAACCCTTCGTCTCTAGGCCCTCAAGAAGTGGTGTGCTCACAAAATTCAGCAGCTCCATGCACTTTCAAAACAAGGCGTCGGGTACCCTGTCAGGCTTTTGCGCTTTTGGATGAAGTAATGCCCTCTCTATAGGTAGAAGTGATCTGCTAAGTTTCAGCTATCATTTTTATGCAAAAATACTATCCGAGCAGTAGATGAGCATTCGGCTTCGAATGGTTCTAAATGGTTGGAAAAAATATACATTGAGCGGCTGAATTTGAGAGGTTGTGCCAGGTGGAATGTTGAGCACTTTCACCTCCTCGCCAGTTGACGAAGCATCCTGAATCGCTTCATGGTCTTTGAACGAACTCCATGAGTCAACAATCAGTGGGGTTGGAGGCAGATCTGTTGATCTGACGCACAAACTAACCCAATCCAGCATAAGTTTCTACCGAAATTGAATTGAAATAGGTTTTGAACTTTTGATTGAAACACATGCTGAATGCCCGGAGCAGAAAGATTCTATGTACACCCTATTCGATCTGTAGAGGCGGAGAAAACATTTTCTTGTACCAGCATCTCTGGTGCTCTCTAAATGTGATGGGGGGCTGTAGATAGTCCATATGATGCGTAAAAAGGGTTTGCAAGCGCTTAACACTTTTTTTTTCAAAAAAGCGAAACGAGCGCAGTCACCAAGGATTCGAACTTCCGTGTCACGCCTACCAGTCCGTCGCCCTCCCACCGCGCCATCGCTTCACGATTGACACTATCGCTGATGTTGTCGAACAAGAAACTATCGACGTAACAATCTGGTGCGAGAAAAGAACTGAGAAAAGGGATAAAGCCATCGCCTAGTTATGAGAGAGACACATAAAGAGGAAGCAGGATTCGCATTAGAGGGAACTGAGATATGGTCAAAGGAGTCTGCGCTGGAGTTGCTAGAGAGAATTCATACGTTTTTCTGAATTGAGTCTTGTGAGGCTAGGCTGGTACCAATTTTTTGTGTTTTCGGAAATTGAGCGTGAACTCGCATAACCGTCAACAGTCCTCCGCTTAAAAAGCGACCGAGGCTGATCGCTCTTCTTCGGAGAACCATGGTGTTGTGAAAATTAGCCCGGATGAGAAGTGACATTTCTTGATTCGATTCTATGAAAATTTCAGGAGAAGACTCCTGAGGAGAAATGCTGGCGATAGTAACATGAGGGTGCTGCACTGAGATTACAGGGTGGGCCAAAATTATGATTACAGCGCGCGCTCATAACGAATTTTTTCTGAGGTCATAGCAATTCGTTCGCTTTCATCTGTTTCACAAGGTAGATTACATTATTACCTTCTTGATGATACTAAACTTTTGGAGATTTTGAAAATAATGTAAGCGTAATTACCCCGTGAATAAATCGTCACTTTGCATTTACAAGCACCTTGGCACGGTGCATCTACAGACGATCCAGCGAAATAAGGAGGGGGTACGTTCAACCATAAGACGCTTTCGAGAGTGGGGAACAATTACAGATAGGAGTGGTAATCCTAAGAGGCCTGCGATTATATTTAGTGGGAGTTTTAATGAAGCAGGGCGAAGGTCTGCGTAGCAGCGAAATTCATTCTGAGCCCAAAATGACTAAATGAATGGATATCTCTTGAAGTTTTCTGCGCGAAATCGTGAAGCATCATCTGCACGAGAAGGCCTTCATACGATCAGAAAGTGATTTCCCCAGTGAGCAGACTAAAAAGAAGAGAAATGTTGGCTCACCAAAGCTGCCCCGCCGCATACAAAAAATTGTCGTACGCGATTCCTGTTCACCGGCGGAAAGATATCCACAGTAAAAAAGGTGCCCAATAAGCAGGGCTACAAAATTTGTATGAAGCTGAAAGAAATGGAATTGATGCAGCGCTAGGCTTGCTCACTTTCTGCGATATCCTTTACGAGCGTCACAGCCGCGGCAAAAGCACCGATTATTTTTGTAAAATAAGGAGTGAAAAATGATCTGAAGACCTGTTCGATCTCTTCGTGCGCAAGAGGACACTTTGGCAATTCGAGCCGGACATATTGTCAAGATGATTCTCCTAACTGCAGACCAGAAATTGCCTAGGAATTTCGTGAAAGGGTTTCTTGACTTCATAACCTTCGATCAGTGACCACTCTGGAGCCCTGACCTAAGTCCCATGGATGTCTCAGTGTGGTCAGCCTTTGAGATGAGAGCATCTGTTAGCCCAAACATGAAGCGAAATAATCTCGAAAATACCTTGCAAAAAGATGGGATCAACTCGATGACCTTAACTGCGTGCCACCGTCAATGCCGTCCATCGTCGTCTCTGGGGTTGGGTGAAAGCAGAAAGCAACAGATCCCACTCACAATGTACTAATTTGATAAGAGATCAGTGATAGACACTTTAATGAAATTGGTTTGCTTTTTTAGCTTTCTATTCGTTTTCGGGGATGTGATGTCTGTGTAATCATAATTTTGGCCCACCCTGTACACAAAATTGATCGGACAAGGGTGTATATAGCTTTGAAAATAGCCTGTAGGGGAAAGTAAAATTCTTAACCTCGACCCTGTTCCCAACTGAAACCCTAGTGAGTGGATCACGCTTTTTCGCGTTCCACTGATAAGAAGTTGTTTTTGTATAGCCTCGGCCAAGAAGATATGACTCTTTATTCGGCCTACGTTTCGGCGTTGTCGCCTTCGTCAGGACCTGAAAGCCACAAGGTATTTGAGTTTCATCCATATCGAACACCATTCAGACTTCAGTTAGTTAAGATGTAACCTACAGATGTCTAAAAGGGTCTCATTAACCACAACTGAGATCCCACTTTGGAAATGAGGAAGTTAGCACATGGAACACCTTTTAAATCGCCTATTTAAACGTTTCCGCAGTGGGTGGGCTCCGGGTGACCTGACTTCCGACTTGAAGCCGGTAGCAATTGTGGCCCACACAGGTCGAGAAACGGGCGAGTTTTAGTTATGGCCAGGCAATCGTCTTTCCAGTTGATTTTGGGGTCTTTTGCGCAGATCCAGAGCGCTTTCAGAGTTTAGCGCGCGGAGGTGTGGGCTCCCTCATTAAAATCCTGACTGAGACTTCAAACTATACTTCTTCGTGGCATTGCCTACGATGGTCTTCGAAAGGGGTTTCAGGTCTTGATTTCTTCAGATCAGCTAGATGTTACCTGATCCCGCATTTTATAGGCCGCCCGGTCTCACCTCTGTATTCGTCCCTGCAGAGCTCGCAAGTGATCGAATAGATTACCCCTGACGCCATGCAGTCCCCCTCCCGCAGATGACACAATGGAGGGTTACGCAGATACGATCATGCAAACGATTTTTACCCGAGATTTGTATGAGGAACTTCGACTATACGCACCATGTCGTCAAGGCCACACTTGCGCAGAGCCGTTCTCACGTCGAAACTGACGGAGTCCGATACGTAAGTCTTGAAGGCGATGTTCCCTTAAAGGATACCCATTAGTGATGGCCATCTCTTGAGCGAGCTCCACCGATTCCGTCACCTCGCGACCACCTTACGAGACCATTTTAGCAGTACTAAACATGTTAGCTGTGATGGCCTGCTTTGTTTTGAGGGAATGCGCTGATCTTAAATGGACCAGGATATTCTTGCTGACTGGCTTCCCATACCATTTGGTCCTAAGAAACCCCCGTTCAGGCTGAAGTTGCATGTTGAGGAATGGCAGCAATGTGTCTTTCGGCTTTTCCCGCGTGAATCTTATATTTTCAGCTTGGGCGTTCAGCAGCTCGAGACACGTGTCTATTTCTTCCTGAGTTGAGCAGGCGACAAAAATGCAGTCGTAGAGCACAGGCCGGCAATCCAAAACGGGTCCTTCTATTTTTGACATGTAGACAATGGCTAGCACTGCTAGCAATGGACAATGGCTAGCATATAGGTTTCATAAAGGTTCTGGACGACACGCATAGTCAACCAATAGAAGAACACCTGAAATCAGATCAATTCGTTTTCTACTGCAAGATTATCTAATAATGAGTGCAGCCTTCCTTCTTCCGAATAAGAGATTCGATCAGACATCATATCGCAGAGCTTCTTCAGAAGAACAGGCGACAGACTCTTCCATTGCATAGTTATGGCTCTTTTCAATGATTTAGCATTGTCATACACTTTATCATTTGCATAGATCTTACGCACTAATACACCGCAGATATTTCCGATTGGATTTAGGTACTTGCCGCATGCCTGTCATGACATTAACGGGATGTAATTGGACTGTAAAAAGGAAAGAGAACTGCGCGCAGCGTGAATCGAAGCGCTGTCTTGCATAGAGGCGTAGTTCTTGTTGGTGTTCTTCTTGATGAATGGCACCAACATCTTCCCAAGAAGTGGCTGGCAGTGCTGGCTTATCATCTTATAAGACGTGAATTGAATGCAAACGGTCCCGTCGCTACACAACGCCTCCCAGACCATCGACGAGTGGCCGCCGAAGTCCCTTAGGGACACAAATAGTGGTTCTTTGCGTGGATTGCGCCAATACGCGTGGTTTCCATCTGGCCCGTTTCCGTTGGATTTTTCTCATCAGAAAAAATAACGTAAAAAAGACAAAGATAGAAAACTCAAATTTCTCATGAAGCTCAGCAAGCTTCAAAAACACATCTTGTCCACTCTCTGTTCATCTCATTCCTAGCGAAGAGGAGCCGTTTCTCCCGTTGACTCTGTGTTAGCCGTGGTACAGGCTTCATCTTCTGGGAACAGTCCATTTTGAAGCCGAAACCCCACAATCTGCAGCTAACTCCTTCACAGTTCTTGTAGAGTTTGATGCCATATTGATCAAACGACGCTAGTCGCGTTCAGAAAGAGTTGATTTTCGTCCTGGCTTCTTCTTCGGCACATTTGTTGCTTGCTTCTTTACAATCCTCGCAATTGCGCTCTTAGAAATGGTGAGTTCCCTAGAAATTTGAAGACAACTTTTCCGGGGTGACGTAACGCGCCAATTCGAATCCGGCCTTCGCTCGTAAGTCGCCATACCTACGCATGCTTAAGAAACAAACATGTGGCATGTGCAACTTCCAGATACAGGGAAGAAAAAAGTCGAATAAATCAATCACCTCTAGTCGTCCAATTTATTGTGCACCACCAAATAATCAATATTGCCCCACCAGAACTTTTCAAAGTCACTGTCATCTATCGATTATCGCGCCAAAATTATTTGACCTCTTTTACACATAACATATCTGCGGCAGAAGCATTAGGAATTTTGGCTCCTCTCAAAAACTAGGTTGTTTATAGGGTGTAATTTCTTCACCTCAGTGTAGAGCAGTAAAGGCATCCCTTGACCAAAGTCATCATCTGGTAGACAGAGAGGCAATACATATTTATAGACCACGCATGTTCATTCAAACGCTCGTTGGTGGCCTGCATGGCGTCCACGTTCGACACGTTTGTGTAGAGAGAGACCACAACAAATGATTCTATGACGTGACTCTCCTGAAGCGAGTCTCCCGCAGTGTTGGTCAGGGAACCTCTTGGTGTTACTGAGGTGTGCGGGGATGAGTGGGTTAACGCGAGGGTCAGAAGCCATGATATCCTCTCGGTAAGACATCTTACGTGGCTTATGATGGGGCGTCTGAGGGATCGAGGGACGACGGGGTGTTCAGTGAAAGTTTATGCGTTTTTATAAGGACGTAGAGAGCTGGGCAGACTGGGAGGTCACACTTTAAGCGTGTGACTAGTGATTTAGATGAATCTGCTCTATGTGCCATGTCCAACAAACCCTGTTTAAACGACGGTATTGCCTTTTGTATTCCCCCTCTGATGATTGGTTGTAAAAGGTTCCATCCCCCAAGTGTGTGTGATGGCAGCGTCCAGATTTCGTGGCATAACCACGAATGAACATGCGGGGTCTATGAACATGTATGGCCTCTCTGTCTCCAACGTGACGACTTTGTTCAATGAATGCCTTGACTGCTCTATATTCAGGTGGTTTGGCCAGTACTCAGGCAGGGAATTAGCCGTGGGCCAGCGGCTGGCACCAGTGCTAGCCATTGTCTACATGTCAAAAATAGAAAGACCCGTTTTGGATTGCCGGCCTGTGCTCTATTGGTGTTATGTAGACGACTGTGTTTTTGTCGCCTGCTCAACTCAGGAGGGAATAGACACGTGTTTCGAGCTGCTGAACGCCCAAGCTGAAAATATCAGATTCACACGGGAAAAGCCGAAAGACACATTGCTGCCTTTCCTCAACATGCAACTTCAGCCTGAACGGGGTCTCTTAGGACCAAATGGTATAGGACACCCACCAGCAAGAATATCCTGGTCCATTTCAGGTCAGCGCATTCTCTCAAAACAAAGCAAGCCATCACAGCTAACATGTTTAGTAGTGCTAAAATGGTCTCGGTCGCGAGGTGGCGGAATCGGTGGAGCTCCCTCAAGAGGTGGCCGTCACTAATGGGTATCCTTTAGGGGAACATCGCCTTCGAGACTTTCGTGTCGGACTCCGTCAGTTTTGACGTGAGAACGGCTCTGCGCAAGTGTGGCCTTGATGACATGGTGCGGGTTATCGAAAATACCTCAGACAAAGAAAGGACGTGTTGAAGAGAGTAGAGAACTGTTCCGCCTCCCTGCTCTCTTCAGCACGTCCTTTCTTTGTCTAATGAGTGCAAGAGCTGCTTTTCTGCGTTTTTCTTGGCAATTATTCGAGTACATTTTCCCATTGTGATATGGTCCTTGTGTGCGGTCCCTCATGACCCTTGGGCAGGTGAAACACTCAACTAGAGATAGATTGGCCGCAGTAGATCAGATGCATGTGGTGCTTTGTTCAATTGGCGTAGAACATGAGTGCTTTCAGTAGGGCCAGAGTTTGATCTTCACTCAATTCGATTGCTACTATATATATGATGACTAATTTTCAGATTGTACGGCTGTTACGAAAATCTTGTAGGAGGTCATCTTTCTGATGCACTGCAAGATGTTTCTGGAGGAGTGGCTGAAACCATAAGCGTATCCAAAATGATCGCAAACGCAAGTTTTTATTGAAATTAATCGTTTGAACAGCAGATCTACTATGATTATTCGTGCGCAGTCGACGTTTAAATTTGATTGCGCTCAAATACATCGGAACCGATATATTAAGAGCTGGAAAAATTTCCTGCTTGCATCCTCTCTAAGATTTGCAGATAAGATCCGACGAGTTTTATCAACAGAGCTCTAATACAAAAATAAGGACGGAGTGGTAGTAGGTGATGATATTAATCAAAGAGGGAATGATATTAAGTAACAGTTCATTGTTCAAACCCTGATCTGAAATTAATATTCCAAATCTACTAAACGATTCTCGGCACACATACACACCGGCACACACCTCTACACCACATACCGACACACACACCGACAAAAACCGATACACCGACACCGGCGCACACACGACAAACACACAGGCCACGCACACCGGCATACCGACATTCATACTGACGCACACCGATGTACGTACCAGCACACGCCGATACAAACACACAGCGACACACGCTGACACACACACACACGCACCGATACCCACACACCGATACACACTATCCGACAAACACACCGGCGCAAACTCACCGACACACGCACATACACACGCCGACACACGCACGTACACACCAACACGTACACGCAACGGCGTCCCCTCACACCGACACACACTCAACGGCACTTCCTCACACCGACACACACATCTTTAAGTGACAAGACCTCGCTTTCTTTGCTTTCCTTAGAGGTTTTGCGATTCCTCGCCTACCTAAATTTGGCCATGAAAATCAGATGAGGAAAAATTAAAGCTCTCTGCACGCTCATGTTCCTGACAGCTTGTGGGCTGAATTTTTTTTTTTGATTTTCGAATTGTATTGTTTAGGGAACATCGGAAGCTTCTCAGATCCTATTCAATAACTTGAAGGAAGCTTTCGACAATGAGGCGCTAATCGTTGCTGCAATAGCGGTTGTTTTATTGGCCGTCGATCGTTTTATCTCAAAGTTCTTTGTTCCAAGATCATGCTCCCCTTCAAAACTCAATGCTGTTGTTTTGTTGTTCAGGCGAGATCCAAGGGAGATATCGAAGAGGCGTTAGAGTGCGGCTTGGTCAAGGGACATGCCTATGCCGTCACAGCAGTAAGATATGTGGAACTGGATGCCAAAACGGACGTTTTTAGGTTTTTTTTTTAAGATAAACACGAATAAATAAGTTTCTGCCATCAGTTGCGCCAGAGCGAAGCACAGTCACGGCTCTAAAAATTTGCTTAGTATCTACTAGCAGTAGTTCTGGCTTAGTCATCTTTGAAAATGCTCCGAATTCATATTTTTTATGTAGTTTTGCAAGGCAAAACCATAAAGAAGTCCTTTGCTGCATTAGCGATAGTCTGACTGTATGGTCTATGACTTTCTCTTCTCTTTGTTGTGAGGTCATTCAGGAAGCGTGTCTCCTTCAATCTTTCGATGCTCCCCTATCAAGTGCTATCACATGAGAGAACTCCGGCATGCATGAGTAGGATTTCATTTGCAGCTCTATGTTGGGATATCATGGGCGGGTACGGATGATTCGACTTCAAAATCCTTGGGGGGAGAAGGAGTGGAATGGACCTTGGAGCGATGGAAGCATGGAATGGGAGCAGGTTCGTTAACATCCATTCAATCGATCGAAAAATCCCTTGTTATCAATTAAACTTCACATGAGCATAGTTTTCCCTTATCGAGACATTATTTCCATTGAGTTTGCTTCTGTGCCGCTCTCGGCCTAAAAGGGAAGGAGCTATCAATCCTCTCCTCTAGAGTGGGGTAACCTGTAGAGCCATTATGAATCTTATGTAATCCAAATTCCATTCAGTGATCGAGCTCAAATTACTTCCATAGGTTTTTCATCAACGTCGACCCGGAGGCACAGCTCCCAGCAATTGTATACCTTTGTATGGCCACAGGGCAGGCAGAAGCTTTAGCGCAGAACAGGACATAGGCGAAGAAAATAGATGTTCACCGAAATCTCAAAACATAAAACTCTTTGAACTTCCTCATTCGGTAGGTTGGTTGAGGTTCCGACGATGAAAAGGGTATTCGCACAAGTGTCCAGATTGCAAAGATTATGCGTTGCGTAAAGAGTCGTCTAATTGCATCTGCAAAAGACGTACATTTTGAATGGTTCAAGGCCGTTGTAAAGGCTTCGTCAGCCAACCGAACGGACCGGTTTTTGAGTGCTAATATGTACCCAGGATGTACTCCCTAAACCACCCTCTCGCTTAAATAGACAGCGCCATATTTGACTTTCCTAAAGGCTATAGATTCACGAAAATGGATTTACAACACGAATAACAGATACAGAACGATTTTCGTCGCGGACTATGCTTTTGAACTGCAATGCGATGGGTGCCAACAGACAAATGGACAATGAGAGGTAATAACGATTCATTGTAACCCAGTTACTAACTTCTTGGTAAAAGTAAGGAATGTCGCCCAGCTTACGCTGAGCCTCATTCCTTACTTTTACCATGAAGTTAGAAAATGTATTTAGATGTGGAGGGCATCGCTTTTATCCAACACTGAGGGCTAGAGTGCAAAGCAGGAGGGGTAACGCCTAGGTGGAGGTAAGATGGCGACCTCGTGCAAAAAAATAGGATGAGGTATGAGTTCAATATATTATTGTAACACATACCCGAATGCTCTTTCCCTCCTGAAGAAAACTATGTTGTCGGCTAAGAACGTTCATGAGCATAATTATGGGCCAACCAGGGAAAAGCGGAGATCTCCTAAACACATTATCACGTCTGATTTTTTTTTACAGTTACATAGCACGATGCCGATACAGATCGAAATCACAGTTTTGAAGTACACACCTCGTTCCACATCACTCACTTCACTGTCTATTACTCATTCTACTCCATCAAGCTGCCCCCCAAGTTACTGCATTGTATATAAGGAGGAGGTGTAGAATAGAGATAGGTTTTCCACATCAATACCTTTATAGTAATCAAAAGTTCTGCCGGCGCACAGATCGACATACCGACAAACCTACAAAGCTACAAACCGACAAAACAACAAACACGCAAACCGACACACCAAGTTACTGCTTTATAAATGAGAGGGATTAACCCGAAATGTTATGGCCTGTAAACAATCTTTCTCATTCACATGTGATTCGCGACATTCAAGAGAAAGCCTATGAGATAGTGAAGTGTGGCAGAAAGATTCCATCAAAATCCTTTTTTCTATTATACTTAATCATTTATCTATTAGGTTGGAAGAAAAGTCCGACAAAAAATTTGAAGCGTCAACAAATCGTATCAACAGTGTGAACACGGTAGCAAGAGTGATAAACTTGTAGGACATTCCTAAGGTAATCAACACATGAGTAAATAAGGGCACGCGTATGGGCTTTAGCAGCATTGCGGTCAATAAATGGACAACACCCGATTCGTACCATCACCTTCGCCGAGGAAAAAATGCGAGTGTGGCAGCTCAAATTATCAGCAACTTATTCAATGCTGGCACTGCTCATCGATCAACGGTCAACACCCGGTTGGATCGCTTTACTGGAGGAGATACTGGCCTTCGAAGTAACGCAAGCGTCGTCCCTTAAGTTAATGGAGGTTAAAGGGATCCATCCACTGTGAGTTGCTAAACGCAGACTAGATGGACACAGCTACCGGTTACCCCTGTGAACCCCGAAATTGGGCCAGCGGGGTTAGAGAAGGACGACCAAAACCGTAAATCAGGTCCCTACAGGGGGACAGCGCACGTTAAAAATTTCGTTTCGAACACGCGTCAAAAGTTCTACGATTCGAATTGGTTCCAGGTTGTTCATTAGTCGTACTCCCTAGTTGTTGCCCCTTTTACCTACCATGCGCTCCGCCTTCTTGAGCATCGCGTTGTGGAAAAAAATTCGTAACTTAATGTGATCTGAAGACGGCAGTCAATTACTTCCTTGAGTCACAACTTCCTCACTCTTAGATAAAAGGCATCAGTGATTTACTCAAGGGATAATAGAAGGTTGTTAACCTCTTTGGTGAATATATTTCCGAAAATTGATTGGCCTGGAAAATTTCAGAAATGATTTGAAGAAGACCTTCATTGTGTCGCAGGACTTTCCAACCTAATATATCGATTTCTCGAATCATTTTCTTTTATCTTCATTGACGTTTGGTAATATAATAATTAAAACTCTGGTTACACGTGGGGGAGTTTCGCTTTTCTCTCGACGCGAGTCCTCTCCTGTGTTGCTATGGTACTTAACATTTTTGTTGCCAACACTTACCTGCATCCGTAGTTCTTCATAGCGATAGAAATAACGGTGAGAAGCGCTGAAATTCCGGGCGCACTTTAGTGTGCGACGGTGTAAAAGTCCGGTGTACTGTGTTTTAAATGTATGGTGCTCGTTTGTTGCAGGTGGGGTCAAACATCTATCAGTTCCCTATTCACTTCCGTCACCCATTATTTTCGTTCCCCTCGAAATCTGAATAACATATTGGAGTGTCACGGCTGCAATCCATTTGTTCTGTCGTCGAAGGGCTCATATCAGCTCCTCCCACTTCTGATCTCTTTTCGACACCTACCATCTACGATCTCAACGGGTGACCGTGGTTTTCTGAGGCTCCTAATTAGCTCTACTTGTTGTCGTGCTTTCTCTCACCCGTCCTCAGTGTATGCATCGTGTAGCCTGTGTTGCTTCACAGTTTGAATGCTCTAGGGCTAGAGGAGCAATAGTTATGAATTGTCGGGTAAGTGTTGTAGTTTGAAGAAGCCTCAGCCGAAGAGTTCTAGAAGCCTCTGTGGGTTTAGTTAGAGTTTACATATTGAGATCATAGTAAGTTCCGGCAGTGCGCTATGTAATGAGTAGTATTCACAAGACGTCGTACAATTGTTCCAGCGATCCAGGAGTGCCTCGGTCCTCTGTAGTCCCTGACAAAAACGGCGTCATTGCATTTGAAGGTGCGACGTCTAGCTCCGTGTCGGTGACTGCACTTTGTTCCCATTTTGACATCCTTTTTTTTAGTATCATGAGGTCGAGCCCGGATGGTGTAGAACGACAAGCCATCAAGAACGTCTGTACAGCGTGAAGTGTCGGCTCCTCGACCTCCAATTTGGCGAGTTTTCGCCTGAAGCTGTCTAAGAAGCATTCGGTTTGTCCTTCGTTAGTGGATGGATAGGCAGTGTACGTCTGTGTGTGCTTCCTCGAGCACCGCAGAACAAGACGAACTGTGAAAAAGTAAATTGTGTTCCGTTTTCCGTCACAAGGATGATCGGATGTTCTTTATAGCTCGAGTGGTAGCAGTCGAAGTGATTGTTATCAAGTCGACGAATTCGGGGAATTTGTAGCAAGAGTCCACCATATTCAAATGAAATCGTCCATTCTCAGTGGTCACGAGAAGTCAGCGCGTATCCGTGTCCATGCGGAGTGTGGCTTCGGCTAGAATATAATTCAGCTTCAACAGGATCTTTTGCGGCTGTAGTGCTTACTGCAGTTCCTGACGTGTTCTTCGATGTCGGCATCCTGCGATGGCGAACAGCCGTTGCTTACAACTTCATCATAATTTGTCCTGGATGAGCCTTGTGGACTGTTGCAGGTACTCGGCGTTGATGGTCTTGGATGCAGTCAGCCAGACAGCCATCTACTGTTGTCATAGTGTCTCGGCGGTTGTAGTACTGCCGAAGAGGAGAGTCAGTACAGCTTCTGTGGCAGTCCGGATGGATGCAGCGGAGACTGGCAGGTGATGGCAGTGCTCTATGAATTCGGCCGTAGCATTAGCATCATGCATGGTCCTCCTGTGTTGGCGAGTGCGGTACTATGAGACCTGAGGGAGCGCCCTCCTGCTCAGAAACCTTTGTATCGACGTATTCAATCGTGGAAGTGTAGTTGAGTAGCATCATAGCCCATCGCCGGAGACGGTTGGCACTGTTAGACAAGTATTCCTTTCTTGCTACCAAAAGTAGAGACAAGCGGTTTATGGTCCGTCTTCACTGGGAAGTGTCATCCTGAGAGACGGTGAGACTTCTGCACGGCGAGTACAGAAATCAGAGCTTTCTCGCTTCGACTGTAGTTTTTCCGCAATAGAGTTAGGCAAAGGCTTGCGTGATAGGCGACCTTTACTGATCCATCTAGAAAACGTTGTGACAGAGTTGCCCGATTCCGTAGTTGGAGGCATCGGCAGCCTCCGGTAAGGTCGTAGTGACTCAGCGAGAGATCCGAGCTCGGCGTTGCCTTTATCCTATCAAAGGAGAATTAGCACTTCTCTTTCCTCGAGGAAGCAGCATTCTTCTCCGTAAATGAATCTGATGGAGCGCGTTTTTTGTGTCAGTCCCTTACGAGTCTACCATAAAAATTGACTAGTCCAAGGAAAGCGTGTGGCTGATAAAAATATACAGCCTACAATAATAGGCGCACTGGCTATTTCACTATTTCACAGCGTTTCACAGCGTTACAGGTTTCGTTTGTATAGGTATAACACACCGATTGGCGGGGAAGAGCTACTGCTAATGGCCCACATCACAGGTATGCTCATGGGATCAAATCCGTTATCCATACTATCTTAGAAAATCGGTCGTCTATTGCTCCAGCAGCGGTTGTTCGCTTCCAGACTTGTCCGGAAAAACAAAATGAACGATTACTTGATTGGTTTGTCTCCAAACATCATCTAGGTAAAATGTAACAAACTGAAATCAGTGGAGCATGTAATACTATAAGTGAACATAAACAAATCTAAAATAATTTAAAAGATGATTTCTTTATCCTCTTCAACAGACCAATCACCTATTCACTTTCCGATAAGGCTCATTAATGCCAAGTAAGGAACAGAAACGAAAAAGAGTCACACTATCGGGAATTCCTGTAACGGCATATCTTATTATGCCATCAACTAATGTCATACTGAACCTATACCTGTTTTCCCTTGGGCCACCCCTATTACTTGTAATGTTATACATGGTATGGCACGTTGTTGAGATTGCCTTTAACAATATTTGTAACTTATGTTTTTTCGCATATATATATGTATATATATACATATATATATGCACCTGTATATATGCACCTAACTATATTAGCAGTCGTGAACTCCTCTTCATATCAATTTCTCAACGTTTATCCATCATTTTCGCCATCTTTTTTATGAACGCTTCAATCATAGGACACCGTTAGCAAGTGTCAGTGTTTCTCTACATGTAACAGAGACTCTATTGACGTTAAAAGTATTTGTACCACTATGGAATCTGATAACTTAAAGCTAAAATCGTCAGTTTTAATGTTACAGTGGGATCGTATTCTCAGTATCATTCGAATCTCCTCCTTTTCGTGTTCAGAATGGCTCGCCGCCCGCACCTCTTTCACTTTTGAACGCTCCAAGAACAAGAGATTTCTTGACCAAACGTATACACACGCACTTCGTTTCCGACATGATCGGAGTCCTGCTCAAGTCCTGTGTGTTGAAGTAACTCGATTCATTCCCATTTATTCCAATTTCGTAGTTCTACTTAAATTGCGCACATTTAAAACACGTTTCTCACGTTCCCTATCCTCTCCATCCGCCTCCTTCTACCCCCGCCCCGGGTGGAGTCCAGCACTCAGTCACTTTCTCACTTTCTACCACCTATCATCAGTGTTCCCATTATGCCGCCTGTACGTCCGCTAAACTTGAACACTCTATTTCTAAATAAAGAATTTCTGCGCTCGTCCTGTCCCCTGCACGCGGATTCTAGTTGTCCCACCCGCAGTGAATGCTCCTACCAACCGCCTCTACTCCTAGCAAACTTGAAGGTCCACGGAAGCAAAGTGTATGAGTTTACGATTAAATATTGTTTTTCGCAGAGCGGAGGTGATATAGTGCAAGTGGCGCCGTATCACACACGCATGGTCACGGGTTTGAATCAGCCTAGAACAGTTGAGCCTACCATGCCTCCGGGATCGGTTGATTGGTATCAGACTATCAGAGTATCAGAACTACAGACCGCACGCACATTCAGTAATTTCATCCACTATAATTCTGAATGGAAGGCGGATGCTGAGGCGCATCCCTGAGACGGGATTGATTGACGCCTGAAGACTTTACCCTTGATTACTTTCTCAATTCGCGCACGATTCGCCCACTGTGAGCGGAGTCGAGTTCTGCCATCCACCATAGGTGTTCCCATCCTGCTGCCTGTACTACTACCTAACTTGAAGAGTTTTCGGTGGACGCACATGCGCACACACCGACAAGCCATCGAGCACATTTGACGTCAAATATAGTGAGATAGCTTATCACCAATTCAAACATCATTTATACTGATATTCAAACTGTTACTTCTAAGATTCCAATGCTTAAATGTTTTTTCTGGTTGATCTTTATGTATCAAAGGAAACTGCTCATTAATACCTGATAGGATTCGGTTACGTCTTATTATTAAATCGTTCTCAAATCTTGAAATGATAAATGGTGCTCAGAGGGCGCTCACACACTGAAAATCCCAGCTGGTCAGCGGCGAGGCTACGTACGGCGTCCTTATTTGGCGGATAGGGGATAAAATCGCCGGTCAAGAGTCACCGGTACTTGCCCAGAGACGCAGGATGATTAAGGGAATGGACTCCCTGTTTCTGTTATGCTGGTCGATATACCTTCTGTCTCTCGTAGGTGTATTCACGCATACGTGTGTGAAGAGTCGACGGGTGCAGTTGGTATCCTGACCATCTCAGCCAGCCAAAAGCTTCCATTCGAGTGACTGGGAAGTACCTGGAAGACGATTTGGGCCGTCTTCAGAGGCAAAGCCTCTTCGACTTCGACAGCCTGCCTAGCACCCGAAATCAACCCAGCCCCCAGGTTAGAGCCTGGCAAGCTACTCGTTGGGGAACCATATACTGAAAGCAGTAATATAAATAGGCCTCGATTCCCTGAACCCGAGGGCGCCCCCGTCCGCTGAACACCGTGTTTGAAACTGGAGAAGAAGTGTTTCTTGAAACATGCGACAGTAGAGGTATTAGCGATGTAGGTATCCTCGTCAGTACGCACTTCGCCATGAACATCAATCCGTACGAAAGCTTGACAACCTGAATGGGACGTTTGCAATTAGGAAGATGTGGCTCAGCTCAGCTCTAACAGTCTTTGCTGCCATACACCAACATCATGCTGCAATGGAGAGGATTTGGAAGCTCCATGTACGGATTTCGATGAACCTCAGCATTAACTGTGTGTACGACGATGTATGACTGTGTTCAACTCTCGCAAGGTTGTTATTAAACTTTATTGACTGACGTTTTGGCAATGTCTCCTTCCTCAGAGCCTGCAAAGATCAAAACATTTTGCGCCTAACCAAACGAACGCCACTGCAGCTCTACTGAAGTTCTATCGCAGGTATACAGATGACTGCTTCATAGTCTGTTCAACGCAGGGAGAGATAGATATGTGTTCTGACCCATTCAACACACAGGCAGAGCACATAATGTTAGCACGGGGAACACCTACTGGGAATTGGCTTCCTTTCCTAAATGTTCAAGTGAGGCTATAGGGTGATAAGATTACCACGAAAAGGTACGGGAAGCCAAGCATTAAAAAAAATCACGGTCCATTGTCGCTCAGCTCATCCTTTCCAGACAAAATGAGCAGTTGTTTGAAATATGTTTCGTACCGTTGCGAAAGTCTGTTTCGGAAAGGATGAGCGAAAAGAGCCTTTGGAAATGGCCCGCGATACGGCACCACCCACACACCTTTTTTCAGTGACGTCATACGAAGAAATGGAAGTGCCTTGATGAAAAGAAAGGTTCCCTTTGTACTGTCATTTATCTCTGATGGAGTCAGCGCCACCACTAAAAGGTGTCAGAGGTCTAGTCTGGGAAATTCAATGACTATCATAAATGCACCGCCTCTGAATCTCAAGCAACGTCTGGTTCGGAACCGACCATACAAACGCCTATATACCACCTCAAATTGTTTGATCTGTGCAAATGGCAGGGGAGGGGATTGCACTACTAATTTCTGGGGTGACCTTTAAGACCACTTGCCGTGACTATGGGGATGGCATATCTGCGAAACGGCAAGACCACTCCACGTGAGAATCAAGGAGTGCCTAAATGACACGCATCGATTAAGAGAGTCTACCGCCCTAAGAGCCAATCAAGACCATTGAAGGAGTTCGGTCATCGTGGAGTTCG